ATACTAACTACAGGCTAAACATGTATATCGACTACTGTTATCACGTCGATAGAGATGTCTAACCTGCTGTTAGTGTTGACCAGACATTGAGTAACCGGCTTAAGAGTGGCTCGAGTTGAGGTATTTTTGGAAACTGATTTCATGGACAAATCATGCTCAAATTTAGCTATTCCTTAAAACCATAGAACGTCAGAAAAGATCTTGTGTATCGATGTCTAATCCGAAAAGTTATCTGCATTAGAATACTTGTAAGCAGATACATATGTATATCTTTGTCACTTAAAGGCTATTTATTGGATTGAATTTATAAGTTTCGCGAACTTCTAGATTTTCTTGGTTGGAACTTTTCAGGTAATTGTTAATATTGACTTTTAATTGTTGTTAAGCAACCCTCATCATAGAATTCTCTGGCGTCTCTAAGATAGTAATGCTTATCTTGACTTTTCGAGCTGGCCACGCGAAATTTTTTACTACATCGCTTAGCCCACCAACAGTATTATGGTGTTTAGTCAACCTGTACTTCAGAGTTTTGTGGCATTAAACATAGGTTTGAAACGTTAAACTTATTTTTTATTGTTAGGCATCATTAGAAAAAAATTATAAATGATTGTCACGGGCGGGACACGATAAAACGTTTCAAAATCTCTTAAGTAGGTACTTATAATATAATAAAAGAAATGAAATAGGGCTGCTTAGTATAAACACACTCTAGTTATGAAATTATAGAAAACTCCCTAAAGTAGTAACTAAGCAATACGAAGTTTAAAACTTTTTAGTCACGGGTTGGACATGCTAAACCGTAGTGATTTTATCCTATTATATAATTTAAATGCCTATTTTTCTTCAATGCCATATTGCTTCTTCGGGGCGCAGAAAGATCGAGACATTTATTCCCCCCTTCAAAAAAATAATAACTTTGTGAATACTTGATTTTGCAGAGCCTTCTATATTAAAATATGTTGTCGTATTCAACTACTTTTCTAATGTTGAAGTTTTGAGTGTATTTACAGTGTAATAAAATAATATAACTAAATTTTTTTTTTGAAAAAACGTTAATTTCAGGTATTGAGCATTGATTCATCAAGCATTCCATCTTCAATAAGCTACTCTACAATTGGACACAAAGTTTCACTTACTCATGGAATACCCCGTATATTAAAAAGTTTTTTTTATATTATTTATTTTCTACTTTTTAGTCCTGTCTGAATAAAAGTTTGCAATAGATATTAAAATAATTCAACGATATTAATAGAAAGGTGCACACACATGCATTTACATATGTATGTACATTAGGGCTGTGCGATTAATTGATTACTCAAAATTTTAATTAATCATAAAGTAAATAACTCAATTATTCGATTAATTTGAAATTATGATTACTCAAAAGTTCAGTTACTCGAGTAATCAAGATTTTTGATTAACCAAAAACAAAAATATTTGAGTAATTTGCTTTATGAGTAATCAACATTTCGAGTAAAATGAGTAATCAACGTTTAAACTTTTTACATATGTATAAAGTAGTTAAAGTTCCTTGATACTTTGAAAACAACGTTTTTTTTTTAAATGAAAACAAAAAAATTTGTTTCATATACAGAATTTAAAAAAGAAAATAAGCATTTTCCAAAGCAAACTCTTTTAACGAGCAAAATTATTTTTTTTGAGTAATCATATTTCAAGTAACTCGATTAATCATCGTTTTGAGTAATCAAAATTTTGATTACTCGAGTAATTGATTAACCGAATAATTGATTAACCAACTTGCTCGAGTAATCGAATAATCGCACAGCCCTAATGTACATACAAACGAGCACCAATTAATTTTATTTGTCGTCTATTTCCGGTGTAGCAAACGTAGTACATAGGGCGACATCTAGATGTCATCTACCTCGCCCTATTCACTATGCTTTTTTATAGGAGCTTTTCAAAGCTTTGCTTTGGTGTCGGACACACAACATTGAAAGTTTCTGGAACACAACATTGAAAGTTTCTGGAACACAACATTGCAAGTTGATAAAAGCGTTGTAATAAAATGGCAAGTTTCCGCAAGTGATTATTTGGGCGTAAAAATTGTTTGTATAAAAGTAAAAATTGTTTGTATAAAAGTATGTAGGAGAGAAACAGGCCTTTGCTCACCAAAAAAAGGACTACAGATACCTTACAAGCGCGATTAATCGATACGGAAAGTAATTAGAATCTATTAAACACTCTGCACTGAGTATTCTACCGAAATTAACTTTCTACAGTGTTTCTAAAGCCCACTACGCTGAACAGGAAAACTATTTTACTACTCCTAAGAATTTCTTGGGTAGAGGGTCGGAAAAGTTTTCGGCTTTGAAGTGCTCTTATAAGAATATTTCTTAATTAGAATATTTCAATGCCGATTAAGTACATGTTTTCGTATAAATAACTCCCTAAAATCTACAAAAAAACAGGAGGGTAACTGTTTTACATAAGAAATATTCGACCAGTTTCCCTAAAAAAGCTCTTTTTCTCGCGAGCATTTGAAGATATCGAGCCATTAACGCGAAAAGAATAATTATTATTTTTTTTTTAATTTTGTCTAATGCACTAATAGTCCCAGAGCAACAAGATGTATTTCTGTATCAAAACGGTAATTTTGAAAAAAATTTCGCTTTCGCTTGTTTGGCCATCAGGGCTCCACTCAGGGAGTTCTCGCTTGGGATAATTCTAGAAACGGTATTGGATGATACAACACTACCTGAATGAAATTTCAAGCACCTTAATAAGTTTCCCTGCAAGATATTAGAAGGATGAAGTAAACTTAGGATATACATATTTCCCATAATAAAAAGAGAGCCTACACTAAATACTTGAGAGCGACGAGCTCTTAAAGCTAACCGAAAAGTAGTACACTTGAAAATTCTTACAGGAAGTAAGACGAGGTCGCAAGATCAGGATGAACTTCTGCAAGAACGACCACAGTGGCCTCGAAACCGAATATCCAGCACATACTAAATTTATGGGGTAAAAGCATAAACAGACGGCAGCGTTGATTCGGATCAACTCGGGAATTAACTGCAGTTGATCCGGATTAAGTCCGAGTTAATCCGGATCAACGCTTCCGTCTGTTTAAGCTATTGGAAAGGCACTCCGCCAGCCTCTCAAACATCGCATAGTTAGAAGGTATTATCGAGCATATTTTGTGACAGGCTAAAACTAACCGCTAACGAGCTGATTAGCCTTAATCAGTGTGGCTTTTTTTCTCTCACTAATAAAATTTGAATTGACAACCCGAACTCGTTAATAAGTGCCGTAAACTAAAAAATTTAATTTTGAATCGAGTTCTCCTTCCATAACGAATTATATTTCTAAAACTGATTTTTGGATTACTGACGCTTATTCATGATCATGGGTTTAAGTTTCGCTAGATAGAATCATCAAAAATTTTGATTAGGTCTGTTCTAAAAATATTGATCAAATATGATCGAAATTATAAGTATTTTAAAATACTAAATTAATAATGTCCAAAAATATTAACGAATAAATTACGTTTCCTGATTAAAGCGCACTTTTTATATGATCCGCTATCTATTTAGCAAGATTAGCAACAAATTGACAAAAAAAGCTTGTGTGTACAAGGATATCAAAACTTTTTTTGACAAAAAACTCTTTTATAAATTCTTACTTAAAATCTTGATGAAAAATTGTGGGTCAAAACTTTTTTATTTTAAAAAATTCATAAATTCACTTTAAAAAAATCTTGATAAAAAATTTTCCAAATTTTTTTTTATAAATTTTCGACTTTTTGAAAAAAAGAACTTATAAATTTTGTACCTAAAAATTTTAATAAAAAAACACACGTCAAAATCTTTTGTGATAAACAAATTTATGACTTTTTGACTTACAAATTTTGATACAAAATTATTTTCTAAATTTCTGACTTCAAAAATTAAATTTCTTAAGTGCCGCTTATTGCTAATGAAATAACAACGCCACTTGCAAAATATTTCTATGCTAGTAAACCAACGACGTACGCGAGCAGTGGAACCACATTTCCCGATCATTAAGTACCG